TTATATTACTCATGATCCTGCCTATGGTTTGCTTAAGAGGAGAGTTAAGTAAGAGAACTGGAGATGGGGTGCAGTAAAAGCAGTTGATCTTTACGCATCACTGTCACAATTTTCATCTAAAAGCAACAAAACACTTCAGCATATCCAACATACTGTTTTCTTTGGTGGCGTCACCAAGCGACACATGCAGGATTATTGAGTTTTGACTGTAAGGAGAATCTGGCGCTTTTATAGGCTCCATGTGGAGGCCTTGAACCGACCACGTGAACTTACAAAGATAATGATCAACCTACAGGGACACACAAAACAGATGTCATAAAAGGCCATTGATCTCTTCAATATGAAGATACATTTCACAAACTGCGCTGCTTCCTTTTGTCCTTTTTCTGTCTTTCAAAACAAAGACTTCTTCAGCAGGAAAACAACAGCATGTAACACAGGAAGTGGTTTATTCAAATGTGCATTCACCTCTCCCTCTCTCACATCTACATGCAACCTTTCACCATCAGCAGCTGTTACATACTCAAACTGACATCTGCACTGCTGTTTAGTTTTGAAATTTACATGTGGCCGCAACATGAACATTAAGAACCTCAATCTAGTCAGTGGCGCTGTCATGAGCATCACTACACAGACACATCAGACCCAGGCATTTGCATGAGCAAATTTATGATCGCAGCCCTTAATGACAAACGAATTTGACAAAAAAGAAAATGTGCAAATCAAGAAAAGAAGCTGCTAGTGGTCTCAGGACAATCACCACAGAGTCCAGACCTCAACATCACTGAATGTGTTTGGGATTACTTAAATTGTGAGAAGCAGAAAATGCAACCAACTTCTAAGACTGAACCTTGGAGGTCTGGAAAAACATCCCTGCAGATTTCTTTGAAAAACTGAATGCAGGATTCCTAAAAAGAATGGAAGCTGTAATAAAGGTAAAGGGTGGACACATTAAAACTCAAAAAATATTTTATGATATTATTTTATGTTATTATGCATTATGACTCTGAAAGAAAAATAACTTGCATTTAATGAATATTTTGACTTGAAATTAAATAAATGAAAGGTGGTTTCTGAGGTCTTTGCACAGCACAGTATGTCTTTAGTGCTAAGGCCACATAACGGAAAACCTCTGCGTCTGACCCATCACACAGTAAATGTGTCAATGGGAGTAGCCACAGACACACAATGCTTCACACTGCTGGATCCAGTGCTAGACGTACAACTGAAAATACATTTTATGGCTTATATAGTGATTAACAGAGATGTAACAATACACATATTTTAAGGTTTAACACAATTTGTAATACAAAGTGAGTCATAATTCCAAAGTGACTCCAGAAATAACTAGCATAAGCCCCTCCCCCCATCCTTACCCATATACTCAGATAGAACGCATTTAGATATATAGTTCTGATCATTGACAATGGTTTAAAAGACAGCAAATGAGATAACAGAGAGAGCAAGCAGCATACTGGCATTACAGGTCTAAATTACAATAAACCATTTCAAACATTCATTCTTTTTCAGATTTTTCGATACTGCAATGAAATCCCCTTAGTGATTATTACAATCTAACAAAAATTCTGTTTACTTAACAGCACACAAATTTCATCAAGTAAACATGACACTCAAAATATCATGAAGGACCATGTGTTTTCTATACTGGCCTTCAACAGCCACTTCAGCATTGTTTTCCAGCTTTATATGAATTACAGTATTGACACAGGAACTGTGCATTCGTTCCACACAGGCTGCACAACATGACTAAGATCACAAGACAGGTGAAGGGAAGGCTTCTCTCAACCTTTGTAACTACATGCACACTATGAGGAATTTCACTGAGGCTACAATAAGCCCCAGCTTTACTAATCAGTCTACATAAGTCTGCATCATGACTCACACTGTTGCAACATGGGGGAGTTTCCAGCACGTTGTTCTCCACGCTTTCTTGGCCTATAATGATACACTTAACATGTAATATGACAACTATCTTGGTACACACTCCATGACGTAATAATTTAACCATATGCTATTATCTACTATAAAGAGAAAGTTTTCTTCAAATAAAGAAATATAAAAGACAAGCAGCAAAGTCTTCGAAGTTGAGGTTGAGGTTTTTCCAGTTGTAATCTCATTTAATGATACAACAAAACATGATGATACAAGTCCTGTTACAACACTACATTATTATAGGTCTATTACTGTCATATTTATTCTGCAAATCCTTCAAAGCTGTCCAGGAGAATGGCTGAAAAACAATCAACCCTCTGTATGAGTAATCCATTCCAAAAACTCATCTCAGTTTGCAAATAACACCCCTCTGGGTTTGGCCATGAACAAAGGGTGCTTAGTCTTAGCCAACTGGACAGCCACTCAGAGGATCTTCCATTCAATGGCACTGCTTCTGAATGATTGGAGAGAGGAAGCGTGAAATGCATGAGTCTGATGGAGACTCTTCCAGAGGGACAGAGGAGTCATTCATGGATGACCAGGGCTTCAAAAACACTCTGATAATTGCTTGGATGAAATGTGATTATAATCCATATTTGCCCAAAGCTTCTAAGCAAAATCTTAACAAAGTGAAAGGCTATTTTAGTCTCCACTCTACTAATGGAAATAATCAGCAGATGGGCTGGGAACATTTTTGGGTCACTATAATACGCCAACAGCAGATCAGTCGTTACTGTTAACATACTGCACTAATGTTTGGTTACTATAAATGAACTACTACGTTCTGCACATTTAGTTAATCTGTGCCAAACTATAATTTAACAGCTTTAATAAAAAAGGAATGTCTACTGAAATGTTAGGATCATCAACAATAAAGGCTCCAGTTTGTGATCCTATGACTACGGCTCCTAAGGTCAATAATTCAGTTCACTCACAGTCTGAACACGTACCTAAACCAACCTGTAAAAGAGTAACCAATACTGTGCATTAAAAAAGTGCAGAGCTGGCACTGACTGAAGCTGTGTCATTTAAAAAACCACCATCAATCTGATCTGGTTGCCACCTAAGACCATTTTTGGACAGGAAATTACAAACTAAACAAGAATTTCTATGTCCTGCGTATATGTGTTCATGCAGTATGTTACTGCACTGCTACAATGGTTTAGGAAAAGCCTAATTAGCCACTTTAAAGGTGCCACAGCTGGGACACATACTGTGTCAATAAGGCTTTAAATTAAAAACAGCTTCTGTGTCATCCTTTTAGTCCCAAATTAAAAGTAATTTTGTCCAATGCTCAGAGATGTGAGGGATTAAACTGAAGGCATTGCTAAACTGAAGATCAGTGGGTACATCGTACATGGTCCTTGCCAAAAAGGCTGCTGGCATTTTCCACACAGTGCACAATTTGTGCAAAACATTTGACCTTTTGCTACGTAATACCACTGCATGAGGAGGCTGAACACTTATCAAACAGAAACAGACATCTTTATGGAGGGCCCAAAGGTGAAATATCATTACTTATATCATTACTTTTATCTTTGTAATCTCTGTTCATTTTTTTTGTCTGCATGTGGCCATTCTCTCTGTGCATGTTCCTCTGGAAGAGAACTGGAGACTGGGGAACATATCAGTGGTTGGTGAACATAATAAACACTTTTTGGCTTTAGCTGCTGAGTAATGTAGCTTATGCAAACAACAGGCCCCATATTGTCACTGCTCAGACTGGCAACAGGTAAAAAAAATGAAAGTAGTAAGTAATATGTAGCGAAACGTCATCTGAATAACAGTAAGCTTTCAAACAACGATAACGACTTGGCTGGACAAGGAGTTCAGCATGAACGTCGACTGACTGCATTAACACATATTTTGACCGGTACTCACTACTTCCACTGAACTTTTGAAAAACTCTTTTATGCTGAAATCTCATTAAACGAATTCAGAATCTCAGATTTCCTTTCAGCAGTGAGCAACAGGATATTGAGTTTAATGTCACAGCTTACACTGAATAACTTTTTGCTCTGTTTACATGAGTTTTCTTCATTTAACATCCTTCAGTAAAGGCCTGAGTGCGCTATGAAGCATTATGACGCCTGTGTGTAGGGGGGTGGTCTAACCTGAGAAGACTTAAAGGGGAACTCTACCAATTTTTCAAAATTGCTGCATAATTCAGTGGTTGAGATGTAAACAGAGTCATTCAGAGCGGTTTGATGTGAAACTGTTCATTGTAGAGAAACGTATCAGATTTATTTACAGTGGTAGTGACATGAACCAGGGCTCACAATGTCCCACCACACAAACGTAAGTATCCAAAATCACCAGTGAATCTACACCTGTCGTTTGAGTTTATATATATGTTACGTTGATGGTAAAACAGAGGTAAATCCAAAGAATAAGTTTTTCTTTGGGGACTATTTTGCCTTACAACACCCTCTCTGCCATGAATGGACTGTAATCGTGTTATTGGCCAAATCCTTATAGCATAACTACAATAAAACAATATCTCAAGCATCACACAGCATATCAATAACCATTACATGAGAAACTCTCGCTGTAAGATGATGCATTTTGCATCAAAACGCTCTGGGTGACTTCGATCACATCTTAATGACTTATGAATTATGTAGAAATTTTGAAAAATTGGAAGTTCTCCTTTAACCCATTCGTCTCCATCAACTAGACCTACATTTAGTATTATTAAGAAACACTCTACAGATTCTGACTGAAGTGATGAAACTTTATAGTTACCGTGGATTAACATATAACAGGACCCACTTAAACTGTCATTCATTTCAAAACATTCATTCATCTCATTTATTTATTCACAGCCAAAATATGAGTCTCTATTGTTTCATTAAAATTCAGTGGTCCCTTGTGACCGTAAGAATGTAATAATATGTATTTAATATGGTAAATGACGTGATAAAAACTCACTTAGCCATATGTTTTGAGTGATTTTAAAATGTTTTAGATTAGAAACGTGGTCCAAAGGAACTGTAAATTGTCCAGTATGGATGGACATTACGTGTCCAGCATTTCGTTAGGTTTACCTTGGAGCTGACACTCAGCCTGTGGGCGGCAGAGTCTCCGTTCGTGTCCGGCGCGGGGCTCTCCTGTCTCGGCGTGCCGTTCTCCAGCTCTGCGCAGGGCTCCGGCTCACCGTCCGCTGAAGGAATACCATCAGTGACGAACTCCTTTTGGCACTTCAGGTTGAGCTTCGCCAGCAGCTCCTGAGTCTCGTCGTCCACCACGACGAGCTCCAGCTTGCCGGTCACAGCTCGGATACGGGAGACGACCTGTTGGTGGCTCTCTCCCTCCACGCTCTCCCCGTTCACGAACGCCACTCTGTCCCCGGCCTGGAGACCCGCGCTATCAGCCGGAGAACCGGGCTCCACCAGCCGGATAAACTGACCCGCCTTCCCCTTCTCCCCATGAAGATGGAAACCGTAGCCATCGCTGCCCTTTTCCAAAACACACAGCCTGGGCCTGAGGTCGCCTGACATGCTGTCTAACTTTCAGGAGTCAGCGTGCAGAACTGCGCTTACACAGATTTACACAACAAAGTCCAGAATTAAAACTTAAACTTGGCCCAGCCAGAAGAGAAAGTGACCTAGAAGCTGTATTAGGTAAGTTTCTTCGAAGTAACTTCACAAGTAAGCTGCTTTCCCTCTGAGGTACACTGACACTCCCTCGTCCCCAAAGTCTTAAGAAGTATCGAGTTTAGTCAAGACCCAGCTCAGCTTAAAAGTGACATGACGTGACCTGACTGACACGTGAACGGACCAATCATTAACCGAGATTCGAAGACGGGGCCCTCTTTCTCAGCCAATAGCCACCCGTTAAAACTATAGCCCGCCTACCGAACTCACATGAGCACTTGAAAAACTGGAATTCATCTATTAAACTTGTCTAACCAGTACAAATCTGACTTAATAGAAGTGTGAAATTTACATATGATCAAATATATTCAAATTGACACTAACATATGTTCATCCAGGGGATAAGTACACAAACTTTCATCACTTTAGACCAATCAAAACAAGTGGCGTTTTCCCGTCCTACTGAATTTAGATGTCAGAACATGAAAAGGTTAACTTACTGTATTAAAACTACAGTAAGTGGTTAAACACGCACTTTCATAAAAAAGGGAGGAACAAAAACAGCTGATACTTCATATTCCTCATACTTTTGAAGGCCATTTGACTATTACGTAACCAGCCCTGGTCTGTGTCTTGAGGTTTATCGCAACAGACTCATTAAAGATACTGATTATAAAATAAGACAATTTTGATGCTGTAATAAAAGTTGCACCCATGACATTTTTTCCACTTACATAGTTCATCTATCACTATGTGATTGTGGTCCATGCAGGTATGACAGACAGAGATAAATTCATGAGCTGCTGATAGTGCATGCACATTATCTTGAATCTCACCACTGTGCAGGGTCAGGACAACACCCACACATCACAGATTATAATCCTGCACTGATCTACCATAAGAGAACATATCATATAACCAGACACCTTGTGCACATTACACTAACCTGTTATTTGGTGCACCTGTTGGCAAAAATACTGAAACAAAACAGGAAGCATTATTCAATGTAAGCTGGAGTGAATATGAATAAATGAATAGTTCATGCTTTTTCACAGATATGTGTAACTATAGGTATGCACTGATCAGTACTACAGGGTACACCAGCGAGCGCTGATCGGGCAGCATAAACTCGAAAAAGTGTTAAATGTTCCAAAGTATATCATATAACACAGGTAGTACTAACGCTCCCTCTATTACAAATTCCATGAAGATCAATATATGAAAGTTTATGACCATCTTCAAGACAGCCTGCCAGCTGCCTTCAACTGATGTACATTTCCATCTTGTGGCATCAAGTAGCATTACCAGTGGCTCAGTTTTACAGCATTTTCAACAACAAGATATTCCCCACACACACACACACACACACACACACACACACATTTTATATATATATATATATATATATATATATATATATATATATATATATATATATATATATATACTACACACACACACACACACACACACATACATACACACATATATAGCATGAACAATTGCTAAAATAGTTTACAGAAATTATTTGCACTGTCAGAGTGGTCAGTGATTGGTTACTTTTATTATATTTTGGCATCCATAATCAGGTTTTAGCAATTTTTTGTTTTTGTTCCTTGTTATTTTAAGGACCATCCCAGGCAAACACTGATAGTCCACGAATACAAACCTATAATTCATTTCATTGATGGTCATATTATTTTTAACTGGTCAATGCCCTATGTTATTGCTATTGTCCTTGTCCATATTGTCCTATTGTACACGCATCACTAAGATTAACACTTCTCTGGTCATTCATGACATCTTTTATAAGCAGTGGAAGAAGGTTTACGAGCAAATAAACTACATAACTTAAAAAAAGGCCTGGATTGGCTGCTTTCAGGTCATGCGATGGGTCTCTTATAACAGGCATTGTTGTCTTGCTGTGGCCGGCGTGATCACAGTATGATCCCGATTTCCGCCTGGAACTTTTTGTTTGCTCCTCACTAAGCACTGCTGCATCTCTCCAGACATACAGGAAATAAATGGTCCCTTGAAATGTCCTTTAGTTCTTCACCACTGTATATCAGGGATCAGAGTTTGTGAGGGGGGCTGTGTGTGGTTGCTGTATTTTGTGTGTAGGGTCTGCTGGGCACGTGGAGAGTCCTGGCCCTCCAGCCAGTCCTGGTAAAGTCGCTGGACTTCAAGGTTGGTCTCAGGGAGACGGACGGGCAGACTACTATATGCTTCCTCCATCTGCTGGACCAGGGCACGGTCAGGCTTGCCTCCTTCTCCCTCTGCCTGGCCACGGCCACTCAAACAGCCTGTAGGGAGTAACAAGGACAGTCAGTGACAATATAATCATGTAGAACCAATCAGGACAACTCCCTCTATGAACTGAGGAGTTTGCAAAAGTCAATCAATTTCAAATTGCTTGGATGAACTGAACTGGAACTTGCGGTGTATGGCAAGATGCCAGAGGTACAAGATGCTTAATCATGTAAGATATTTTCATTAAGTGGTTTGAGCCAAATTCACAAAAGCTTTCCTGAGAGAGAGAGGGAAAAAAAACCTTACAAAAGGCCCTTAGGACAAACACTGAGAGGTTCAAAGGCTTTCAATTCTCGAAAAATGTAAGAAGTTCTAAATTTTTAAATGCAGACTATCAATATTGTTACATTTTACAGGTTACCATGAAAGACTTTACATTTAAATGAACAATATTATTTCCATTAACCAGTTATTCAGTTTAATCTGCTCAGTGTCTGAGCAAAACGAAAAAAAAGAAAATAAAGAAAAAAACAAAATAAAGAAATAATTGAAAAATAAATTAGTTCATTACATTAATTAATAAACAAAAGAAAATTAAAAAATGATCCCTTAAATAAAAGTCACCTGACTTTCAAGTGAATAAAACAGATGTGGTTTTAGCACACTTTACATGTTAAAAATGTGTTATTACTCTGCGGTCACACGTAAAAACGTGTTTGCCTGTCAAAAAACATGATTACTTGTAATCTCATGGTTTTTGTAAACTTCACATGTGACATATGTGACTTTTCACATGAAAGAGATACATTGTGAATTTGCACAATTTTTCCAATAAACAGATATTCTGTTTAATCTGCTCTGTGCAAAATAGTGAACAAAACAACAACAACAAAAAAAAAATTAAAAGTAGCAATGGAGTAGCAAACAGGAAAAAAGGTGGTCCTAGGTCTATTTTTTTCCCTCTTAGAACTGCTCTTAAGGGAAAAGTTAAGAAGGAAATTATAAAAATATATTTTTAAAAAGACTTAAAAAAAATACGCACAACTTTCTTCTAAATTATCAAGAATGTTTAACAAGATTTTCTTTTTTTTTTAAGACATTTTTTGTGAATCTAGCCCCAGCTCATTTAGATGTCAGTCTAATGTGCACAGACCAGAGGTTTAACATTACCCAACACATTAAACAATGTTTGACTAGGATACAAAACAGTGAATGTGACTAACAAAAGTAGAGGTTAAAAAAGCTACAAATTTAGCAAAATTATTTGCAAAATAGAAAAAAAAAAAAACTAAAAAATTTCGGAACCCAAGAAAATAAAATGTGCAACAGAGCAAATTCAACAGTATTTCACGTAAAGAATAACAGGCACAAGATATCTATCACTGCAAGTTTGATCACTTGCTGCAGTTATACCTCCAGGACAGGACAGAACTTCTACTAGCTGGTAGGGCACTCTGCCTTTCCGCATGCGGTGTACGAGTGTCTGAATGTTCCGGAAGCCATAGACTGCAGCAAACTGGAGCAGTGTCTCTCCATCACGCTCTAGCACCACCTCCTGGAAGTCTCGGTTCCTAGCAGAAACAATTTACTTACAATGTCATAATTGTAATATATCTGAATATGATTATGTCAACACTTCTACGGAAAAAAATATTCTAACAATTCATTGACTATTTTTTACACGTATTTTCTTGGATTGTTCAACTCACCTGAGTGTCTTGTATACAATCTCTTGAACATCCAGACCAAATAGCTCTTTAGCTGCATATTTGAAAATGTGCTCAAGAAAGCCTTCAGAGCCTCGACCATCATGCCTCATTAAGCTTGGATCATTGATCTCACCAAACCTGTCATACACATACAAACAAACCACACCAAATGCAGATCATAATCACCCCCATTGAGACCAAAACAAAGACTAGTCTGAGACAAAACAAACCAAACGAAAATAGCACTGGTGATGGTCATGAGTACACAAAGCCTGACACAGCGTGTGGTCATCTTCAAAGTCAAGCCTAAAAACAACATTTGCATTCAATGGACTCCTGTATGGATAAGATCATCTCTAATTGTCAGAAAAAATGGCAGCACCACCCAGCAACAGGAAACCCGTGTGGTCTCAAATTGCCTCACAATATTTTCATTTTTCTGCTTAGCATTTACATGTTATATTGATCTGTGTAACTGCTGCTTGTTAAACGATAAAGTGCACTTATCTCCCCAGCCCTAATGATTTAAATTAGCTGAAGAAGAGAATACTCCAGTCTCTGTCTCTCATTTCCTGAGACTTTATGACTTCCTGAGTTCCAGCATTAACCACAGTAAAATGGTGGAAATCTAACTTACACGTGATCCAGTGGAACAGGGTCAATGTCCTCCATGGAGACATTACTCTGCTCCATCATGTGCAGTATTTCTCCTGAAACAACCCAATGGACAACATTCATTTTAAACAAAACACCCCAAAACTTTAAACAAATGTCTGCTAGTACCCTCCAGGGTTTTTATTACACCTTTACTGGCACACTTCAACAAAGGCAATGTAAAGTCTCATGCTGTGAAACCAGACTTGTGGTCTGCAAAGACATCAGAAAACAATTAAGTCTCACTTCAGCATGAGAATAGAATCTGACTGGCTCTGTTCCATCTGGCTCTAGTATCAGGAAAACACTGAAGCGTGCACCTGTCGGTTACGTTAGTGTAGTTAGTTAGTTGTGATTCAGTGAAATGAAACCTTTGTTCAAAATATACTTCCTGAAGGGCCTACGCCTGATTAATATTAAAAAAAACTGTACAACAAAATCTAACTCCAATATTACATAATGGACTGCATTGCTGATGTGTTTTTATCTTAGCATCTCCTTGTTGGTGCTACTATAGAGTCAACCAG